CGAGACGACGTCGTTTCTCGATCGAACGGAGAGAAGCCGGAAGTGCAGAAGCGATGGGATCGGCGAGGGGGAGGACGATTCGGAAGGGGATTTCTCTACCTTTGTCATGAGAGAGAGCGTGGCTGAATCGGGGACGGTGGTGAGGACAACGAGCAGAAAGGGGGGAATCGGCGAAGACAGCCGATCTTCAACGATGAGCAGAGCTGTCGCGAGTATGCAGTCCGCGGGGGAGGTTGGGATCGGGAGGCAGATGAAAAGCGGGAGCGGCGGTAGGTCGGAGGAGGAGACCAGGGTGCACGGGAATAAGGTGTCTTCGAGCTCTTTTACAGATAATGTGATGAGGGAAGATCCTTCTACCAAGTATGAAATTCTCCACGAACTGGGTAAATATGATTTCTGCGTTTTAATTTTCCGTCTTAAATACAGTACTTTGAGCTGCATTGAGAGGTTGAATCAGTAATGGTAGATATAAATAGTACCCTGTAATGATTTGTATATTACAGTAAGTGATTAAAAGGGGGAGGAATTTGCCATGGCAGGGAAGGGTTCATATGGGGCTGTTTTTAAAGCTCGAGATCTGAAGACTTCGGAAATGGTTGCCATAAAAGTCATATCATTGTCTGAAGGGGTTGGGTTTCTCTTCACTCTGTTTCTCTTTACTCTCTTCCCAAGCGTGCTATTCAATGAATTTGAAATGCATCCAGGAGGAGGGCTATGAAGATATCCTTGGTGAAATTGAGATGTTACAGCAGTGCAGCCATCCAAATGTTATTCGCTACTTTGCGAGCTACCAAGGAGACGAATACCTTTGGGTATGATAAACTGAATTAATCCACACAATTTAAAACTCATGGAGCAATTAATGCTTCATCACTTCAAAATAAAAAGAAATGGTTGTGTATAACAAGCATAATCAATATTATGACTTGTGCTTTAGTTTTGGGCATTGCCGATGAAACTAAAAGAGTTTACTGGCAGTGTTTTAGTTTCAGACACATAATAGATTAAATCAAAATGACACACTATACTTCTATTGCTTCTTAGTTTCTAGTTTCCATAAAGTTTTACAGGGACAAGACTGTGTATATCTGATCTCAGCGACCCAACGCAGTTGTGATTATATTGGGTTGTTGTTGTTGTTGTTGATGATGATGTTATTTCATCGTGTGGATTTTCCATCTTTTAACAGATTGTGATGGAATATTGTGGGTGTGGAAGTGTTGCTGGTTTAATGAATGCCAATGAGGCACCACTTGAAGAGCACCAAATAGCATATGTTTGCAAAGAAACATTGAAGGTAATATTGGCTAGATCACTTAACCAATGTTTTTAAGTTGTTGGTCTAAGGAGCAGAGTCATTGACACATGAAGTAGTCTTTTGTTGACAGCACAGCTAACACCCAAAGTCCATGGCCCCACTTTTATGTAGGATATAGTGGACATGTCTGGTTAATTTGGTTTAGTACTCCCATAGTGGCATGTTAGAGTGTGACCACAAAGGCTTCTCTCTTCGACATCAAAAGTATAATTTAAAATGCAATATTTCATCAATAACTTTGTGTTTGCATTTTGTCTGAACTATCATTTTTCTAATCATCTGATACAGGGTCTCTCTTATTTACACTCCATTTTTAAAGTACATAGAGATATCAAAGGCGGTAATATATTGTTAACTGATCAAGGAGAGGTTAAGTTAGGTTAGTACTTTCATTTACAGTTCCAACATCTCTTACTATTTTGAAACGACATTCTTGCCATATTACTCGTTTAGAGCTTATAGCTGATGCCATTGATCTGTGGTTTAAACTATGATTTCTTGTTATATTTTTTTTGTCACATTCTTTAATTGCATTGCTAAGTTAATTCACAAGTCATTTGTGCATCAATGTATCTATTATTATTTCGTACTGAGCCCCCCAATTTGTAATCTAATAATAATCAGTATAAGCAGGTGATTTTGGTGTTGCTGCACAACTATCTAGAACAATGTCCAAGCGTAACACGGTATTTTTCAGTCATTTAGCTCTATACCTCATTTAGGAATTTGTAGATTTTCCCTTATACTTTAGCATGTTTTTACCTATTGTGGGATTTCCCCTATACCCCAATTTTTTGCTTTTGGTTCTATGTAATAGTATACGGAGTAATGTTAAAGGAACTTTTTTGCTTAAAAGTTTTATTTCGTCAATCAATTTTCAGTTTATTGGGACCCCTCATTGGATGGCTCCAGAAGTCATTCAAGAAAGTCGTTATGATGGAAAGGTATGGTTAACGCTGTAGTCTTGCTGTACTTCTTGAACTCTTTCTGGATACTACTTTTATAGAATTATGTTTACTGTTTTTTCAAAATTTATCTGTCTTTTTTCAGGTAGATGTATGGGCACTCGGAATATCTGCTATTGAAATGGCAGAGGTATGTTCATTTCCAATTATTTTGCTATTGAGTTGTATTGCAGCTTAAGATTATAAAAGATTTGATGAATTCTCTCTCATTAGAGGTGACCAACCTCCTTTTCTTATTAGGGTCTTCCTCCAAGAGCAACCGTGCATCCTATGAGGGTTAGTCTTTGAATCTTAAGCTTCCAGGGAATATCTCATATTCATTATTGTTATTCTGTATATGTACATTGAGATATATGTAAGAAACAATGAGATGCTTTTTGTGCTGTAAAGTTCATATTATTAATAGATTATTCATTCCTTAGTGCTGAAGTGTAATACACCTGCAAACGACTAGTGCTGAAGTGTAGTTTTGCACCAAGGGTTTTGTTAATGGCATTTAATACAATGTCTTTCTAAATATACAACTTGATATGTTTGTAACTTTGGATAGGTCTTGTTTATGATATCAATTGAACCAGCTCCAATGCTTGAAGATAAAGAGAAATGGTGTGTTCTTTATTCTTGATTCTTTGCACATTCAGTATCCTTGTTTTGTTGGTAGTTTTCTTTTAACTTGTAGTTGTTTCTGTAATTTCAATTGGATTTGTATGGCTTCTTGCACTTTGGGGAATGAATATAAATAGGGTTAAATGGTTAGGACATGGCCATTTGAAGCCATGTGCAAACTCATATAGATGTAAAGAGATTTTGAAGTGGAACCATATAAATATATTTTAGGTCTCTTTTGTTCCATGACTTCGTTGCAATGTGCCTTACAAAGGATCCCCGTCTTCGTCCAACCGCAGCAGAGTTGCTTAAGGTACTTTTCACATACTTTGCATTTATTTATAAGGAGTATATGTAATTATGGAAAATCATTGTTTCTTTCTTTCCCTATGTAAAATCTGAAGTATTCATCTTTAGTAAATGTTGTATGCTATATCTGAGGTTTGGAAATTTCATAGATTGGCTTCTGATTTCCCTGATTTTAGGCATCTTCTGTGAAGATAATCAATACTGAATTAACATATATCTCCATAACTTTCTACTCCATATTGTATTGTGGGCTCTCAAGTTCAATGGGCTTTAAATACTACATATTCCAAAAAAAAAGTTATATTAGCTGTAAGATATGCAACTATTTTCCCCACTCAAAAATATTTGATTGTGAGGTTGATTTTATGCCAAGAATGGTGAGTCATTTCTTATTCGTTCAATGGTACTTGAAGCACAAATTCATTGAGAAGTGTAAAAGCGGAGCTTCTGGAATGCTACCCAGGATTCACAAGGCAAAACAAGTTAGGTCATCAATGGCCTTGGAAGCTCAGAAAATTGCTTCAGCTGCAACTCTACATGGAAATGTATGCCTCTCCAGTATCTGTATTTTTTTCCATGATGAGATCTCAGTGTTCACTAGTTTCCCCTGCCTCAGATCTCAACATCTTTTAGAGATTACTCAGAAAAATTCAAATCAACTTGGTTAAAATGCAGTCAGGAGGTTGCCCCAAAGTAAACGAATCATTTGGAGATACAGTGCCTGCTGGTTTTCAAGTCTCCAATGTTGTCTCTTCTGCAATTGCTCTGAATAAGGATGATTCAGAACATATAGAACCTGCTGCAGAAGGTAACCCTATTAGGTTCCATCCCCCACATCACATACATCTAAATGTTGCCCTCACCGTAGTGTAAACTGAAAACCAATCAACATTTTTTCACTTTTGATTGACCTTTTATGGTTAACTCAATTAAACATTGTGAACTGATAAAACCCATAACATTTTTTCTCAGTACATACATTAAACTTGGGAACCTTGGCCATATTACTTTCATCTTCAAAATTTTGTGACTCTAAACTTGACTTAAGGAAATGTTTGGATCACTTAAGAGAAAATGCTTAGTTATTTTTTTATGTTAGGCTTTCCCTTTCAAAATGTAAAGGAAAACGAAATACCCTAGATTATGATTTTTATTATTAATTATGTTTATATATTTAGATTTTTTAGTCTCTACACAAGAGAAATAAATAAATGAATCCAGTTTGAACAAGTATCTACAAGAACTTTATTTCCCCCCAAAATTCATTTCCTTCTCGTCTTCTTCATTTTCTTTCTCTGTATTTTTGGGTTTCAAAAGAACCCTAAAAGAAATGCTACTTCTAAACAAACAGGTGACTTTGGGACAATGATAATTCGAGATGGTGGTAACATAGATATAACTGCAACTCAAAGAAATAAAGAACCTTCCCCTTCGGTTAACCATGTTGAAAATGCTCAAATTCCTGGCCGCGGTGAAAAAACAATTGAGCATCGGTATTTTATCGCTTCTCTTTTGGTATTATACTACAAAGTTCATTCAGTTTGTGTATCAGGTTTGCAGTACCATATACATGTCTCTTTTCTAAGTATTGTATGAGATGAGTTAATTAACTTCAAAGCTAAGCTCTTTAACAAGAGAGAAAATACTCTGGATGCACAGAGCCAATATTTGGCATATCACTGCCAATGATGTGCTTCTGAAGGGAAATTTCATATTTGAATGTCTTGAATAAGTCTCAAGTCTGAAGAAATAAAATTAGGAAATCTTCCGGTGTAGCTGATGATGCATTCTTGGTGGCATCAGGTTATACAGTGAAGAGAGTGTAAGTTCCACACTTGGGGCATCCAAAGCCGGAGAAGGGCACGCCGCCTCTTCTCCTGCAATGTTTGCTCCTCCTCTTCTAAACCCCCTGCCGGGTGAAACCGTCAGTCAAAAAGCTTTGGAAAAGGTAGTTTCTTTCCCTTCCCTATTCCCTTTCCCTGTAGGAAACTAAGCATTGCTTCATTTGTTTTTCATGCATAATGCTTTCCTTTGTGTATATAAAAACCACACATGTACATATGCACTCTTGTAGCTCCGGTCAATATACTCAGCAGGTAACACAGTACCGATCCCCTTCCTGAGAGCAACCGACATATCGCCAATTGCACTCTTGTCGAGCAACATGCTTGGGGCCTGGCAACAAGATGACACGCTGCATGAGCTTTTCTCTAGCGATGCACAACAGTCAAAAAGAGGCCGAAGCAGACAAAACGAGGTCGCTTTTTTAACCCCTCCATTAGTCTTTTTTGGTTCCCTAGTTGTGTCTTTATGGTTCTCTACGACAATTTTCTTCTTCTTCCTTGTACCGCCTTAGGACTTTGCTGTTTATGATAATCTAATAATGGGATGGATACAATGCAGGGCCCCCTTCCTCCAAGTGTACACCGGCGGCTCTCTTCTAGTCCTACTCTAATGAATCTAACCCAAGCTTTGGCATATCATAGGATGTAAGATCTTTTCTACTTTTCCGTAAGCCAGTGGCTACGGAACCACCCAAGAATATTTTGCCATTTTATTATTATTTTTTTTTGAAAGATATTTTGCCATGGTATTGTACTTTTGATATCCCAAAATTGATTGCATATTTCTGTTGATAGATCGAGTAAATTATCTAACATGTATCTACTGAATGATGACAGGTGTTATGATGACATGCCTCTTCAGGAAATGCAAGCTACACAAGAGCAAAAGACCATCCAGAGCCTGTGCGACACACTTAAAACTATTTTGCGATTGTAGATATATCCTTTTATCACCAAAAAAGAGTATAACAAGTTGACATCATAACATGTTTTAAATGACATGACACATGAATTCATCTTTTAAATGTTCATTCCCCATTTATGGTAAATTATTTATTGTAACCTTTGAAATTTGAGTAGTTTAAATCAATATTCCCCCGTCCCTAAATATTTGTCACACTTGTATTCCCGAAGTAAAATATAAAAAAAAATTCATTTCATTTTATTTACATATTGATATAGAAATAAAAAATAAAATTTACATATCAAAAAACTACATGAAAAATTCTTCAAAATAAAAAGTGTCAAGAATATTTTATTTTATCAAATAACCAATGAAAACATAGAAATAAACAAAAGTTTTCGCGATTGCTGAAAAAGCAAACGTTGCAAATATTTTTGGACGGAGGGAGTATATCTTATATTACAAAAAACTTTATACTATTTTCAGAAAAAGTTTCAGAAAAAACGACAATAATATTAAGTCTTTTGAGTAAAATATGAATATTTTTAAAATTATTAATCTATTCATCTGCATGGAAATTTATTGTACTAAAATACCGCTCATAAATGGTCTTAAGAGTAATGCTAGGGCTACACCAAAAGGTGTACCCCAAATGTACACCACCTTATTTTCTTCCACACATTTTTATTTGATTTTTATTCACTTATATTTTTTTGAATTTTTTGCCTTTTTTTAGTGGACAAGGAGAGGGTGGGGGATATTTGGAGTACACCTTTGGTGTACCCCTAGCATTTTTCATGGTCTTAATTTATTCTTCTAATCAAATGAAGAATGTGTATCACATAATTAAGATAAAAAAATTACTAAAGATACGAATATTTTTAGTACTCCCTCGTTCTAAAATTTTTTTCCCAAAGCACTATTCCAATTTCACGGGAATTTATATTTATTTGTGTTTTTTCATGACTTATATGATAAAATAAAATATTCTTGTCACCACTTGTTTTGTTAAACTTTTAATGTAGTTTTTAAATATGTATGTTTTATTTTTTTATTTCTATACCAATGCTTAAATAAAATAGATCAAAAAAACTTGGGATTTTTTGAAAGATATAGGAGGGAGGGAGTATTAAATACTTTGTGGTACAATAAAATTGGCCCCACCTCCGTAGTTGAGGTTTATAAAATTGGGCCCCAAACTACATTTGAACCCCCCCGCCCTCCCCCAACCCTAACGCCCTTTCCCACAATAATTATAAATACGGCAATACGGCATGCATTAGGTTCCGCCCTCCTTCAGTCTCCACACGCGCAAAATCACAGTCCTTTCTTCTCCGTGGCGATGGTTACCTTTATATTCCTTAGAGATCCATCATATTTTAATTTAATTTATGCAGCTTTCGATTATTATCTTTTGCTTCACAGATTTGTAAGTATTATTGTCTATATTCATGTATGTATAGGCTGGAGAACTTGTGAACCCTAAAGCCTACCCTCTGGCTGATTCCCAACTCACCAAAACCATTCTGGATCTGGTCCAGCAAGCCTTCAACTTTAGGCAGCTCAAAAAGGGTGCCAATGAAGGTTGTCTCTTGTTTTTGTTTTCAACAATGCCTAAATTTTTGTTTGGTTTTTTTCGCTCTCGTTCGACGTGATTGTGAATTTGAATGTCTGATGTGTTTCAGCCACAAAGACGTTGAACAGGGGAATTTCCGAGCTTGTTGTGATGGCTGCTGATGCCGAGCCTCTCGAAATTCTTCTCCACCTCCCGCTTTTAGCAGAAGATAAGGTAACCCTTTTTGAGTGATCTTGTTGTTCTTGTTGTTTTCAATTTTAGGTAGTGATCTTGTGTGATATAGTGATCTTGCTGAGTGCTATGTTATAAACTTGAAGGACTGATAGTGCACACAACTCCGTAAAGTTGGAAGATTAATCGTGGATTTTAGCCTGATTTCTAATATGCATTGTGCGTCTTTGATTTGGTCATAGAATGTCCCCTATGTGTTTGTTCCATCCAAAATAGCTCTCGGCCGAGCATGTGGCGTTACTCGACCTGTGATTTCGTGCTCGGTGACAAGCAACAAGGGAAGCCAGTTGAAATCTAAAATACAAAAACTCAGAGTAAGAATACATTTACTGTTGTTGTGTGAATAAACTGTCAATCACCTTTTCATCTCATCTCGAAATAGATTACAATATTCCCTCACATTTTTGTCCCAAAAAGGATTACAAAGTCAATAACTTTATAGTGATTTGACATTTTTACCCTCCCTTTTCTTTTCTGCCAGCAACTATTCACACTATTTGGAGGGATTTGGGGGGTAATTTGGGAAAAAAAAAATTAATTTGGCTCTTCCTTAATTTCAACTAAAAGGGAATATTTTAATCTAAAGTGAGACGGAGGGAGTATTTATATATGGAACTCATTTTTTCTTTCTTTTGGGGGGTTTTTGTAGGATGCCATAGAGAAGCTCCTCATATAAGAAATGGTGTGAAGTAATCGTATATTCAGCATGATGGGCCTCATGATCTCTGCACTATATTATTGGGCCGTGATGAGGAGGCTTTGACTGGCCATGTTTATTTTGTGCTTAGTTAGTTGTTTTATGAATTTCCTGTTAAAGTAGTGTTATAAGGATTCACTATAGATTTTAGAAATTCATTATGATTTTTTTTATATTAGAGGTATTCGATTCAGGCTTTTGAAAATCAATAAAAAAAATTAGAGGTACACTAGCATCAACAATGACAAATATTAAAATGGAATGTCATACGTTGACATGACACATTTTAGCCAATAAAAAATAATCCAGTCATGTGGCAAGTGAGTGGAGTGACATATCACAAGCCATTGATTTTATCAGTTTTTACACTTTTTTGACATATTTTAATTATTAAAAATTATTTTACTTATCTTTTTTAAAAAACATATTTCTACTTCTTTTGAAAGATCTTGTATTTATGAAAAAAGAAAAAAAAAGGAGCAGTTGACACGCGCATAGAATGGAAAGCATGGCAAATTGCCCGCCTTGCAACGCATTTTATATAAATTGATGATGTGGTAGTGTGGAAGTGGCAAATGTAAGCCACTGCCAATGCTCTAACAATAATGTTTTTTTCTCAATTTTTTCCTTTTCTTTATCAAATTTCTTGAACCGAACATACCCTAAAAGTTATATAGAGTATAAAGTGTTAACGTTCAATAGAACAAACATTAGCATTGAAGATTACTCTTTCTGTCAGAAAAAGATTCTTAAGTTGAATTTTCACATTGTGTAAAGAGAGATTTTAAAAAGGTAAAAATTTACTAAATTATTCTTAATAAAAGTGAGTGGATATATTAATTTTTTTTTTGAAGTCAGTGGATATATTAAATGTTTTGGGTGGAGTTTAATAATAAAATGATGAACTCTATCTCCAAGGATCCTTTAGTACCGGCTGAATAGTTAGTTGGAGATTTAATAAATAAAGACAATGAAGGTAGTGGTTGCGTTTTAAATGTTAAAAAAAGATTAGGAAAATCTTTCGTCAACAAAAAAAGATACTACCTCCGTCCCTAAATATTTGCCACATTTGTGTTTCCAAGGCAAAATATCAAACTTTTTCAATTCATTTTATTTACATATTGGTATAGAAATAAAAAATAAAATTTACATATCAAAAAACTATATGAAAAGTTCTTCGAAATAAGAGGTGTCAAGAATATTTTATTTTATCAAATAACCATTGAAAACTTAGAAATAAACAAAAGTTTCCGCGACTGCGGAAAAAACAAATATTGTGAATATTTAGGGACGGAGGGAGTATTTTGAAGACCTTTCTCGTATAGAGTGTGTATGTTTTATTTTTAAATTCAGTAGTATTGTTGAAAAGTTCAATAGCATTACTATTATGGTTAATTTTGAATCACTAATACTGTATTTTACAAAGATTAGATTGCACTTCTTTCTTCTTAATTTTTTTTGTTCAATTTTGCTTATCTTGTGCTTTAATTTATGGTGTTTTTGGTATATACCGTCATAAATTAATTAGTAGTTGTATGAGAACAAGTTTAAATTACAAATAAAACACAGATGAAAAAATCAAAATAGGAGCCCCGAGAACTATTTTTTTGTGTATACTATCATAAAGTAAATGGTAGTATTTTTAACTTTTTATTATACAAACAATTTCTGATTTTTTGATACTATTTTCTAGAAGAAATCTTAAAAAAATTCATGAAAAAGAAAACAAAGTAAAAACAAAAAATGACAAACCAAAAAGGAAAACAAAGATACCCAAAATTAGGTATTTAAGAATTATTTTCGTAAAACATTAAGGACAAAATCAAAAAACATATTCCGTATTTAATACCCGAGTAATGCTTATGGATGAAATAATGGACGAAATGTCCCCTCCCAATAATAAAAGTAATCACCAAAATAGAGTAAAACAAAGCGAAAGTACAAAATTAGTAGTTCCATATTTTATTACAAAATAAGATTTTGCACTGTGACATTGTATATTTTATCAGCATTATAACTCTTATTTTAAGCATAAAAATATGAAATTCTTATTTTGATATTCTTTTATATTTTAGTTTTGATATTCAACTGGGTTGTTGTTGTTGTTTTATATTTTAATTTTATTTTAATTTTTTTCCCCAATAATTATAACAAAATTTTAAGGGTCCCTCAGAATTTCTCTAAAAGCAGAGGAATGTGAGATTTGGAGTAATTCTGTGCGGCTAACATCTAAGGAGACGGTACGTCGTCGGCCTCCGCCGTGGAAGATTTCCCAGACAAAAATGAGTAAAGTTAGCTCTTTGTTTAGAACCCAAGCTCGAAACTTTTCTCTTCCTTCGCGTTCTTCCGCTCTTTCTCATTCTCGACATGGCCTTCTACCCCCCGTACCAGCACAACAATGCTTCAAGAACCCATTCAATGGCTTTCAGAACAACCCCAGAAAACCTGCTCTGAGGCACTTCAGCACAGCTCATTCCGAAGATCGCGGCGACGAATCAAGAAATGGAAACCGCCTAGTGAAACGTGTGTCCTTCTTCTTGCTTCTCTGTGTGATGTGAAACTGAACTTTTGGAGTTTCTTTCTTTCTCACTCCCTTTGCCCACAACGTGTTTGATGTTTTATCTCTGTGGCGATTTCTCCCAGTTTCTTGTCTAATATGGTACACTTCTTTTGAAAATGTTCTCCTTTTCTATTGTGTTAGAGCAAAAGATTACTACCTGTCTAAATTTCTAAGAAAATGACTATCTTGTTCTGGTTGATGCATCATTATCCATGTTTATTATTTTAGCAGTAAATAGGTTTTGTCTTACTCTGGTTTTTTTTTGTGTTATGTAACGTCCGTTGCAAATGGAGATGGAGCTAAAAGAGTCATTTTTAAGGACAAAATCAAAGTGGAAAATTAATCTTCCTTTGCTTTTCATGAAGTTTTGGGGAGTAAAGTCTAATGGAAACCATCTCCGATTTTTGGGCTCCAGAACTCTACACTCCAGTGGAGTTGGGATTATACTGAGTTAATTTTTGTGTTTATGTGTTTTGTATATGCGGTTTCTTGCAATTTTAGACGGTACAAGTGAGGATGTGGAACCAATTGAGTCTTGGGAAGAAGAGGAAGAGGTTGAGCCTGAGGTATATATATACTCTCCATAACTGTATTCTTTGCCAACTATTTTCTCTCTTCAAGTTTGAAGATCTTTGAAATTTCAGCTTGGCGATGGAGGGGATGGTGGAGGAGTTGTCTTCCAAAACTGCCCTTGGGGAGAGCAAGCATTGTCCATTGCTAATGAGGTACTGAAGGAACATACAGTTGACATGGAGCTCTATGCTTTCAAAACTTCTCCCAAGGGATACATCTATGTGAGACTGGACAAACATACAAATGAGTACGTGCAAGATCACTTATTGATTCATATTCTTTGTGAATTCATGCTGTCTATAGTAGCCGGCTTGTCATTTGACTCCTTTCTTTTGGACTAGGAGTGGGTCCGTGAAACATAAAAAAACCACCGTGGGGAAAACAGAAAAAAATGAATTGAAAGAACCAAAAGTGAATCAAATTGCTGCTATCTGGTTGCAGTTTCTGCCCCCAAAAACTGAACCAAGGCGTTCAAACAGGAAAATGATGTCATTTGGCCTAAGTTAGCTTATTAAGTATATAGTTGAAGAAATGTTTTTTAACTATAAACCAGAAAATGTCTAGGTAGTGAGTACAAAATTTTATGGAAGAAGCTTGGGTATATAGAATAAGTTGGATTTTTAACCCGAAGAATAAAAAGATTCAAAATTTATATGATCTTCTACATCAATTCAAGAAGGTTTGATGTTTTGTGGCTAACAGATACGGTTGTCCAAGCATGGATGAGATGGAAGGTTTCAGCCACGAATACAAGAAAAGATTAGATGAAGCAGGAACAATGGAAGAATTTCCAGATGATTTGGCTCTTGAGGTATCACTAGTTAAATTGATACTCTGTATTTGATAAGATACAAAATCTCAATCTTCAAAACTAAATGGTTGCATTATTTATTTATTTACTTGTTTATTCTTTTACTTCCCTCTTCTGTTATAGGCATCTTCTTTTTTCTTGGAAAAGTCTGCGCACACACATTCCTCCTACTTTTCATGGGACTTTACTGGGTCTGTTGTTGTTGTGTTATAGGTGTCATCTCCGGGGGCAGAACGGCTACTGAAAGTACCGGATGACTTAAACCGGTTCAAACACATGCCCATGAGAGTGAGCTTTGTGGGAGAAGACGAATCTCAAGGCGCAGAAGATAGTAAGATATTACTCCTGGACTGCATCGATGCGGAGTTAGGGAAGTGTGTGTGGAAGCTGGTTGATGTGAAAGAAAACCGCGACCCTTCTGCTAAAGGAAGACCGCTAAGCCGTAAGCAGAAAGATTGGAGACTCTCACTATCATATAATATGATCAAACAGGTGACCTTGTTCATCTCCCACTAAGGGCATGTTTGCTAATCACTTCAATGCTTAGCTTTAGTATTTTGAAAAGGCTCTCTAATGAAAACGTTTAGCTTTAGTGATTTCAAACTTAATGTGCAGTTGTGCACCATTAAAAAGTTACCTAAAACGATAATGCTAGTTGAAAATGATGCACCCAAACAAGGCCTAAGTATAGCATATCCTCCCAAACTGCTAGTTTTTTGCACATTGGAGTAGAAAGCATATTTTTTGGTATTCCTTGGTTGCAACAGGGAAGACATCCAAAATGAACATATTCGCTATGCTTCTTTTTTTTTTTTGTGAATTTACCGAGTCAATTAATTAATTAATTATTTTTTGCAATTAGCTGGCACTATGAATTTGATGCTATCAAACATACCAGTTGGGACTAAGGTGCTAACTATGATCATGAATGGTGACTTTCTAAGATACTATTAGTGAGTGCAGCTTTGTTGTCATATTGTGCTTTGCTCTAAAGGCCCTCCTCCAAACACTAAGGGCCCCTTTTACATTGTCATATTGTGACTTTCTAACATACTTGCTCCCTCCTAATTTGTCATTTGATTTGTTTTTTTGCATAGAGTTAGAAAGATAGAAATTATGTCCACATCAAGGGGATGCCAAACCAGCTAAAGTATGTGGGGGGTTAGGGGGTAGGAGTGTAGGACCCGGTTTCGGGCCTACAGTGTTCCCTTCGTAAAATTGATGGTTCCTAATTCCTTAATTCCCTCTAACCCCGACCCAAACTCACCCACACTCCCAAGTTTATTTGACTTTGCAGTAAAAATTTTTGACTCCAAAGTCAAATAAACTTGGGAGTGCAATTGAAGGGGGTGAGTTCGGGTCTAGTGATTGTTAAAACTAATACAAAAAAAAATAAAATAAATTAAAGAAAAGATGTCCACATATGGCATGTGGTAGGTGAATGAGGATGAGATGAAGGGCCTATATCTCAAATGTTACTATACAGTGACAAGTCTCCAGTGGCAAATCTCATCTGTTACTGGAAATTTTAATCAAATAACTCAATCTTTGTATAGACGACAACCTTTGACTTGTTAACAATATAACCCCAAACCATGTTAATATTTCAACAAATTATGATGTAAGTTGGGAGGATAAGATCAAATAATAATTCAAAAACTTTGTCGGAGTAAATAAGTAAACAAAATCACTATCAATTTGTTTGTTTTTTTCAACTTCACATTTCTACGTTTCATACTACAATTTTTAGTTTTTAGTTAAAATTATTACTGCAGTTCGACTCCGGTTTCTCAATTTCAGTTAAAATTGCTCGATCGGTACTACAGTAACGGTTCCATTACATATTTATGTTATTTACATTAAACACGTATTCCTAAATACCTTTTATACTTGTATGCACATAAATAAAGTGCATTTTAGAACCAGCCAAAAAAAGAAGAAAATGTTTGGTATTTTTAAAGAATATAATAGCTGTAGAATTATAGGAGTATAAAGTTGTTTGTTTTTGTTCACGTTCTTGAATAGCTTTCACTTCCCATCTAATGAGTTGTGAGGGGGGAACAAGACTTAGGTGGCTCCTTTCTTGTACTGTTTATGATATTGAATAACAATATGCTTTCTATTCATCAAAAATCAAAATAATCCCTCTCTTTTACAGAGAGAGTATTGCCATGAAATTAACATTAGTTGTATTCATAAATGGATTAGTTATGCTAAATAGTTCGAGAAAGATTTAGGAAACCAACACAATAAATTTGGACGGATTAAAAAAGAAAAATGCACAACATGTTATGGATGGAGGAAGTGTGACACAGGTTTCAAGCATAAAAGGAACCTATGTTTTAACTATGAAATTGTTTGAAATATGAGTTTTGATATGTACCAAACCATTTTGTGAGTGTTTGGCCAAACGTAAACAAGATTCGGATTTGATATATCCCAATATCACAACCCTCCCAAATAGTGGCATTTTGATATTTCTCGAGTTTGAGAGATATCTATCAATCCGGGATTTTATATATCTCTCAGCCACCGGCCATCACTAGTAATCATATCAGATTTCAAATCTCTTATAACACGTTTTTTCAGATTTCAGAAGTCATATAATTTCTTCAAATTGCAGAATCCATATCCTTATCTTGCTTCACTCACCATTCACCAAACAAGTTCCCCAGAATATCTAAGAACACATATGTTAAATCTTTAGAGGTTTTTGCACATTAAAACGTTTCCATAAGATCCATTTGGTAATCAAGAAAGCTTGGCACAAAAGATACTCATCCTACTCCATGGTGCACTGATATACCTAGAGAAAGTAACTATCAGTTGCCTTCGTACTTGGGGTCAGCCATCACGTAATGATACGCAATCACCAGCAAAAACACAAAGATGCCAAGGAAGTTGGCGAAGAACCCAAGGTCTTGATCGTTGATCATCTGCAGCAACAAGTGCACAAAAACCATTCTTTAGAAAAATTGAAAACAGCAATTGCGATGACGATACACATATTCAAGGATCATCCTATACGCACAAAAACAACTGCAGAAAATGCTACAAAATGCATGCAATCCAAAAAGCTTCTAAAAAAGACAGTTCATTCAAGCTGAAGACTTGTGTTCTACAACATCCATTGAAATCCACATGAAGGAAAATGAAGCCTTCCAACAACTAACTGGAAATTTGATCAGAATACTATGAAAATGTCTCTTCTCTGCTGTGATATATGGATGAAAAGCAAAAGTCTCCAAATTCAACAAAAAAAACTCTCATTCATCGCGATTATACTCTATATTTCTTCTAGCACAAATTCAGATTCAGCCTGAACTTTCCTTCACAGGAACAACATTTAAGATCAAAAACTCGAAATTGGGCAGAATTTTTTCATTTTCTTATCGAAAACGTAAATCCAGTGTCTTGGAAGAGAAATCTAAGATCTAATCGAAACAGAGAGCCGTGAAGGCGGGCGGGTGAAGCAGATCGGATGAGAAATGCGAAGTGAAATGATAATTAAGCATCGATTCATTGCTTATTTAGACGAGAATCAAATCATAATCCCAGAGCCGAAGAACAAACAAGAAAAAAAGGAATCTGAAAGGAACTGATCTTACCCTTGATTGGAGAAACCCGGAATCTGGAAACCAGATAGATCTGGGAAGATGAGTTTATCGATCTGAGAATTTTTAGATTTTGGAATTAGAGAGCGAGGCCGAGGAAGATGATGATTAGGTTATAAGTTAAGCTGCAATTTGACTAAAACAAAATTCCGTACAATATTTTTAACTTTTTTGGTTCTATTACTAGTTTAATCTGTTAGAGCCGATCTCAATCAATAAAATATATTTCAAAAATATTTTATAAAATAAATCTAGTAAAACTATTTTATTTCAATAAATAATAGGGAGTATCAATTTTATTGAGCTAGTGGTCAAATTTGTCAAGTTTAACCAATAAAAGTTAAAACTGGATAATATTTTAAAATATTTTTGGATTAAAAATAGGAGTCCTAAATATTTTAAGAAAAAATAATACTTCATACTCACGTGTTATACTGTCATCCTCGCCACATAGTCACACTTTAACTGTCACACTATAACTGACTATCAAGCGCTTATCTATTGCCTTTGGTTACCGGAGTGCCGCCGTCGATCATACATTTTTATATTACATTGTCATTATACTTCTATTTTAATCTTAAATGACTTATGATTTCTATTTTGATTATGTTATATTTCTTTAGTAGGGGATTTTCTTTTTTTAAAGAAAAAAAACTCCATACAACATTGTATATTTGTATGATACATTGAAATTTTTTTTGGGTGAATATAGACACAATGTATGCCTAAGTTCATTAAAATTTACTCCGGGAAATAACTAAACTGAATACTGAACTTCCAATTAAAACAACTGTCCCTAACTTATCTCTTTTCTGAAATAAAATGTCTGTGCAAAATACAGTAAAGACTTCGTCCCTATAAATGTGCAATGTCCATCTCCCATTTCCTCACAATTCTCCTTCTGGCCTTCCATCTGTTTCTTTCCCCCCTCGGTACGACGTCGTCTCTCTTTCCCTCCCCCTCTTCAGTGATTGTGGACTGGTGGTCTCTGATACATGCGCACACAGTTTTCCTTTTCTTTTCTTGTTTTTTGTAATTTCAAGAATTTTAATTTCTCTATGTGCATCTCAATTTCTTGGTCCTTGAAAATGAGATATGTTTCTTTGATATGCGTCTTATGTCTGTGTGTTAAAATTCTTTTTTTCTGCCTTCTTCTTACATGCATATGTTTGATTGAAGGAATTGGAGTCTTGATGTTCTGTTGAGCATGCCACTTCCCAAGAATTGGGCTTATTTTGGGAAAGAATTTTTTTTTCTTGAGGTTCAATATCCATCCATAATTTGGGTATATTCTTCATGTTTCTTGTTTCTTCATATGGTTGGATAGGATAGTCTTGAATCTCCAGCTGTATATTCTTTTTAGGAGAATTTGAAATGAAATTATGATATATGTGTTCTTGAAATATATAACCCTTGTTTTACCTGTTGAGTTGTCGATTTTATCACTGATTTTGTATTCAAGGTTTTTAAAGATGTGATCTTTTGGCTTTTGACATGTACTCAGATAAATCTTTTAAATAGAAATTTCATTACCTTGCTTCTAAATTCTTGGTATTCGCCGGGATATCTTGTAAATGGTCTCTCTGCTTCCAGGTAGGGGTAAGGTCTTCGTATACGCACCCTCCGAGACATTACTGTCTTGTGGGGTTCTATTGGGTTTGTTGTTGTTGCTTGGCAATTCTTGTAATTTGGAAGTTCTATGGAGGGCGTGAGCTGAATTTTGGTTCCTATTTTTTGTGCAGAGTGGTAGTTTATAGTGTTTTCCATTAGAGAAGGATGGCTTTGTATGGGACTAGAACAGATGGGAAAGAGGTGAAGATATATGAAAATGCTGATGAACTGAGCACAGATTTGGCAGAATACATTTCGGAATTATCCGAGGCTTCGGTGATGGAGAGGGGCGTTTTTGCCATTGCGTTATCGGGTGGCTCTCTGATTAGCCTCATGGGGTATGTAAGTGAACCATCTTCTTCTTCTTCTTCTCTGATATACCTTTATTTTGTTCATAGTTTTTTTTCCTTGAATTAATGATGTGTTTGTCTTGAACTAATATTTGAGGAAGCAGAAAACTGGCTGAAGCACCTTACAACAAAACTGTGGATTGGGCCAAGTGGCACATATTCTGGGCCGATGAGCGTGTGGTCGCTAAGAGTCACGCCGATAGTAATTACAAACTAACCAAAGATGGCCTTTTGTCCAAGGTAATGCTTTCATTGTTTTGTCCTCCCTTGAGTCCATTGCCAATGGAGCTAAAAGAGTCATTTTTTGGGAGTTTAAAAATGACATGTTAAGAATCCCTTGCTTTGTTACCCTCTAGGAAGTTTGGGGCACAAAATGCAACAATACATCCTAGGGTCTAATGGAAACAGTCTCTCTGTCTAGTCTATGTTACATGGCTGAGGGCCAAATTGAGTCCCAAGTGGAGTCTATATTTAGTCAGACTGACAAAAATACCCTTTTCGCCTAGAACCAAGTATGTACCGGGATGAAATCGAGTCGCGAAATTGATCCCAAGAAAAGTTGTGGGCGAAATTGAGTTATAGTGTATAGTTGAGGAGTTAAATGGGGTTACAATATGTACATTGTCACAAGAATATTGTCCATTTCAATAGTGCACACTCTGCTAAGGAACATGATTCTTCCCTTTGGAAAATGACAAATATGATTAACATTCTTAAAGATTTCCCTTGTTTTTTTTCTCTTTCCAAATCATTTTCCAAATCCAAAATGGACCCTAAATGTTACTGCATCTGGTGTACTTTCAGGTGCCAATTGTCCCAAGTCACATACACTCCATTAATGACACGGTATCCGCAGAGAAGGCGTCCGAAGAGTATGAGTTTGTTATAAGACAACTCGTGAGGACTCGGGTGATAAGCGTGTCCGACATTAGTGACTGCCCGAAATTTGACCTTATACTTCTAGGGATGGGGCCCGACGGGCACGTGGCGTCCTTGTTTCCTGGTCACCCGATCCTTGCCCAAAAAGAAGAATGGGTGTCGTTTCTGACCGACTCGCCCAAACCCCCACCCGAAAGGATCACTTTTACTCTACCGGTCGTTAACTCTGCCTCAAACGTGGCGGTGGTTGTCACCGGTAGTGGCAAGGCGGAGGCTGTGCATATGGCTATCGATGATGTTGGGCCGGGCTGTCCGTTGTTGCCAGCGAAGATGGTCCAGCCCAGTAAGGGGAAGTTGGTTTGGTTTCTGGATAAGGCTGCTGCTTCCAAACTTGATGAGTTTTCCACATAAACCATTGCCAAAAATGTATGTTTGTATGTAGTAAAGGGAGTGTAAGTGAAAGCTTTACCAAAAATGAAAACTTTAGTTAAAGTCTCATTTAACCCCAGAGATTGACATCTGAGTTTGACACCATCAGAGACAATCAGGTACAGGCAGCCATTGTTCATGAAATACTGACAGTGTCAACACTAGTGTCATCTATGGTGTGATTGTAGCGTGACATGTCTTTTTCTTGCCTTGTTCCTTTTTTACTATGCTATGCTCATCACAATGAAATCAAAAGAAGAAATGTTTGGATGTTTGGTATAAATTTTGAATGAGGTAAGTTGAATTGTTTTTGTGTTTTTTTAAAAGTTAATTTAAGCCTTCTCTAATATATTTAGAGTTCTTCCCTTTTTTGCCTGACTTTCAAGGGTATATTTGGCAAACGATTTTGTTTTTCTGAAGACAATGCCAAGGGCCATTGGCAAATTACTTTTTTTTGCTCTTTTTGTTTTTTTTGAAAAAGGTTCATTTATAAGTGAAAAAAATCCACCTTTTTGCAAAAGCGGACAATGATGTGCAATTATTGCATTGTTAATACCATGTTATTTGTGTTCATTAAACTAAATTGGCTGTTTTAATTATTATTTTATTTAATTTCTAGTATTTTCCAAAAAATTATCTTCTTATTCACTGTTCATAATGTCAAATTTTATTCATTTGCTGGCATATTTTTGTTGTTCATTTGATAAAATCATATAATCATGTAACATCTAGTTTTGTAAATCTTTTAATTTAGTTTTTTAATATGTAATTTTATTTTTTAATTCAACACCATTTTCATATAAAATGATTTGGAAATGATTTCAGTCAAAAATCATAACGCGCAACGAGAAGATAATTTTTGGACAGAAAGAGTATATCTTAAGTAAATTCAACAATTTTAGCCAGACTTTTAAAAAATTCATGCATTTCAATAAAGGATGTGTTTCTCTGTGCTGGTATTTATTGACCTATTACTGATAAACAATTTTGTACTTATAATTGCTTATAAGTCAATGTTTTTTGCATAAATGAAATGACTTAAATCATACTTCGTATATAAGTCATTCGGGCATATTGATAATAGATGAAGGATAATTTTGTAAATAATGTGATTAAAATGTAAAACGGAAAAACTAACTTAAAAATAAATAGGTAAGACCTAATTATTTTTCTGAATTATAAGCACCTTATAAATCAGCATTTAAGCAATTTTGACTAGCTTATAAACACATAAGAACACCCACAAAATTCCCACCAAACAAGTGGTAAAAACTTTTAACTTTCAAATTATACAGCCTTTGGGTTTTATGAGGAAAAAGTAATGAAGTATGAACTGATTGTTTTCAATGTGTCCATTACATACCACATCATTTTTAATGGTATTTCAAGAACAGCTGCACAAAATTCTGCACAAGTCTAAATTCTCTATAGGTGTGGAAGAACACACACATTGTTGAAATCTAAACCAACTAAGATGAAGGCACAAATACTTCCTTTCCTATTACAGGCCATATTCCGAGAGCATCCGGTTATGAAATCGCATAATCTTCATTTTATAACTATATAAATGTATGAATTATGAACAAAATACAACAAGCCAAGGAGATGTAAGATTTCACTTGTTTGTCATCTCTCACAAAAGAAAAGACATTAAAGAACTTAATTAATAATAATACAAAGAACAAAACTTGAATACATACATCATTCTTGCAAGGCATAGAAATGAGGGGCTAACTCAGCTAGCCACAAATAATCAATTCCAGAGACGTTGCGAACAAAGGTGTGATTAGTTTGAACTATCTCATTAAATACTACACACTCTGGTTTTGCCCGGAACAGTACAGACGACGGGTGGATTTGAACGGTTGATCCACTGGATAAAACCCTGACAAATGGTAACGTGTGAGTTGCCCAAAACTTGATCTTTGGTGCATTCGAATAAATCTTTACCACAAGAAAATTTAAATGTGAAGAAACGGACAGAAATGGGAAAACAGATTGAAAAGGTCAATACCTGTAAGAACCATCAGGCTGCTTCAGAGCTGCATTCAGGAAAAATGAAGCTGCCAAACATCGTCTGAAGAGAAGTGTGTCATCTGTACAAGAAGAGATCCGGAGACCCATCTGTTCCACATTCCTGCGAATTTGGCTGCAAAAAAAAAGGTGAAAAAATTTGACCTTGAAAAACTAGCAAACTACATTCACAATCTTTGATGTCGAAGACTGAAGATTATGGATCATTATGGCAAACCTGTGAACATCACGTGCATGTCTTAGTGAGCGGCTGTTGATGAAATTGTCTTTGCACCACTTTCTGAGATTCTTTTCAGCTTTCTGTTCACCATTTGCCATCTTGCTCTTCTCGAAAAAATCATTAGAAGCACGAAATACATTGAGCAAAGTCAAATGATCTCCTTCAGAGCTGGCAAAGTTCTTCCATGCGTTCCTCGACTGCTCACACGGTGAAGATGACATCAGCAAGTTATATTGTATTATTCCCTTCAACTCAATGGTGTGTCATGAAACTCCTTATGTCCAAAATTATTTGATAGCCAAAAAGCGAAGTCCCAAAAAGCTGCTGTTTTGGAATTCAATGCATATTTTATGCTCACATTCCAAGATTTGCACGTATTAACTCTTCAATCTTCATATAATATATGCTTATGTATCTTGGAGAAGAAATGAAATGCATTTGATGTTAACCTTAGGTAACAATTCAAATTCCATTTCGTAGGTTTCTTAATAGATACATACATGCATGATACATACATACATACATATATACATTATATGATGACCAAAAGATTGTAATTAAGTGGTACATACCAAAAATAATATTAAAAGGGCATACCTCATCCAACTTTTCACGAGGAGCATAAAAGATGGATTCAACAGAGAGCATTCCAATACAGATAAGCATTTCTTCTAAGCAGCCGAACTCACTGGCAAGAATGAGGGCCTTTGAGTGCATGGGTTCTAGAGGCAACTTAGCCATTTGACGTCCGGTGGGATCAGATAGTTCATTATTTTCTGTTATAGCACCCAACAGGTAGAGAATCTCCAGTGATTTGATCAAAGCAATCCTGTTAAAAAGGAGGTTAACACCTTACGGAAAACCAGTCCCTAAATAATGGATGTTCAATGAGTTCATGAGTCATGACAGAGCTAGAATCGGAGGAACAATCATTTGGTTTTATTTGTGATTTCCCATTTAATGTGTCTTTGAGATGACTTTCTCTAACACTATGTTTGGTTCAAGGAATTTGAAAGGAAAAGAAAAAGAAATGTGGAGGAAAACAATTTTTATTGTTTGGCTAGAGAGGAAAAGAAAGAAAAGTGGAAGGAAAACAAAATTAGAAGGCAAAATGTACTAAAGGGGGAGAAAACTGAATTCCCCCCATTTTGGTGAGGAAAATGAGAGAAATCCATTTTCTTTTCTTTGCCTTCCAAATTCCTTGAACCAAACATAGTGTAAAGGAATATGTGCTTTTTACAGTGCTTGAGTGAGGAAGCACTCATCATAAAAGCCACTAATGACACAAGTTATCCTAAATGAAACAGGGGATTTCGGGAAATCACCTCTTTGGTTTCTCAATGAAGTCAAAGTCAACAACATTGTCAATCCCAAGAGCCTTGAGCTGCAACACAACATTTGCAAGATTGCATCTCTTTATTTCTGGAACTGTAGAATCAACAAGTTTCTCAAACTCACATTCTGGATAAAGACGATAGCATTTGCCAGGTCCGTCTCGGCCAGCACGCCCACTTTGGTTAGAACAAAACCAAAAAGTTAGAAAGCCTTGTAATATCATTTTTTTGTAAAGATTTTTCAAAATGCTACCATTTCCTATTAATTTGCTCACCTCCTCTGCAGTGCTTGTGCTTTAGATGTTTTCACAACAACCAGTGAGTCAATTCCCCTATCTGCATCATAGGTGCGTGCTTTTACCAGACCAGGATCAATAACATACTTGATTCCAGGTATAGTCACCGATGTCTCAGCAATGTTTGTTGCCAAAATTACCTAAGACATGTAATAAGGCATAGATAGAGTGGGCAAGAATCAAGACAGAAATTGGTAACAGGAAAATGTTGACAAAACTGTTAAAAACAATTCCAATTAACAAACAGAAAAAAATCCAAGTCTTCATAATCTAGCAAATTAATACAATATCATTACGCATGGTGAAGGTAAATTATCTGCTTCACGTAGCCCTTATCAAAGTGAAAGTTTTACGCAATGTTTGGTTCAAGGAATTTGAAAGGGAAAAGAAAAAAAAAGGGGGGGGGGGGGTTTCTTGTTTGGTTAGAGAGGAAAAGAAAAGAAAAGTGGAAGAAAAACAAAATGTACTAAGAGAAGGGAAAACTAAACTCTTCCCATTTAGGCGAGGAAAATGAGAGAACCCCATTTTCTTTTCTTTTCCTCACAAATTCCTTGAACAAACATAATGTTAGTTAAAGAACATTTGTCAACTTATAAAAGCCAAGTTGTGCAAAAACTCAATAAAACGTTTTTTAAAAAAATGAGCAGCTTAAAGTCTTAAACATGAGTGGATAGATTATCCATCAAACTCATAAAGGATGCATATTTTATGTTGTAAAATGTTTCGTATCATGTTGCCACTCCCTGAGTCTCTGATCTCTTCCAATTTGAGTATAGGTGGAGTTTTCTATAAAATATGAACATACCAAAAAATTGCTTTTAAGATATGAAAAACTTGCCATCCCACATGGCCAGTTATGAGAAGAATGTCTCACGCGAAAATATACCAACCTTACGGAACCCAGCCGGTGCAGTTGTAAACACTTTCATTTGCTTTTCCGAAGGAAGGGATGAAAATATGGGGAAAATTAAGAGTTTCCTATTCGCTTCAGATAAATGTCGGAGGCGGTCGCAAACAAGTCTCTCAACAGATTCAATCTCTTCTTGGCCAGTAAGAAAAACCAGTATATCACCAGGGCTCTCCTCTAAATGTATCTAAAACAAAGAAATTAACTAAATAAAAATTGTATAAATAGAAATCTGAGGTGAAAAACAATACAGAGTAGCATTTACAAAATATTCTGTATATATCAAAACATAAAACAAAACTAAAGTGCAAAATCAAACCAGTAAGTCTCACTAGGAAGTATGGTCTGAGAGTGGGAGTTGTGTGCATACCATAATTCTACCCAAAAAAAGAAGTTAAAAGCAATGGAACAAGTTATAAATTGAATAGGTTTGCAAATCATATACTCTCTTCATCTCATATTTAAGTTCTCACTTGTTTTTTCAC